GAGCAGAAGACCCCTCCGATATTCAAAAGTTCGTGGAAAAGATTTAAATCTTTGAGATCTACCTCTGTCTCTGTCGAGGAGTTGGACAAGCTTGCATTCTGACCCCCGCAGGGGTGTAGAACAAACTTGGCAAACCCCTCATAAAGGTATAGTGCAAAGGTTTACATAAAAAAGGGCATTTTACAAACGTTTGAAATTTCCGAGGGATATTCCTCTCTATCCACATCTTTTAGGGGTATTTTAGCATATACGCAAGGAATATGAGCGAGAGTGATAGACAGAAAACCAGATTGCAATATCACGAAGCAGACCAGATAGTCGTGTACCAAGCAGAAAGCACAATGCACCGAGATACCAGCCAAATGAGAGCAATACTATGAACTCAAATATCAATATCGACACTCTTTCGACACACCAACATAGAATCCAATGTTGCTCTCTTGACTGGCGCTCAGCGCCCAGCCTACTCTACTCAGCCTTCGCTAGCCTACACTATGTCTATGCAACAGGAGTCACTTCAAGCTGAAGGCCAATGTACGTGACACCGTCACCGATGCAGACTGCTAGCATACACCAGGAACGTGCCTCTTCTCCCCTCGTCATCCCCTGCTGTCTCCCCACAGTGCGCATCCTCACCCGAAGACCACCATCGCCCACACCAGCCTCCGCACAAGCAGCTCGGCTATGGCCGCCGTGTGCCCGCTGCCACCGCAGCGCCCCACTAACCACCGAGCGCCCGCGTGCACCTCTGGCCAGCGCTCAGGCAGCCTATCACCTCCCAGGGCAGCAGCGTGGCCGCTCACTCGCGTCCAGGCAGAAATGTTCTCCTGGCTGGGCTCTCACTTTCCTTTATGGAAAGTGAGCACTGCTCTGGCCAGCCCTGGGCCTGGACGCCGAGTGCCCAGTAGCTTCACTTCGGGCCAAAGTGTCTGCTTCTAGGCCCGTTCAGACAGTGGCCTGGCCCCCCAGCAGTTAGACGTGCCCAACTACCCACGCGAGCAGGGATGTGTTCCCTGCTCTCCGATAGGCTGAGAGGCCAGCTCCCACGTCACGTCAAGAAGACCCTGGAAGGCTCACGGAAGATTCCGATGCCCGCGAGCAGGGCAGGTGTAACCACCTGGCGTGTGGAAACTGCCTGGCGCCCAATATGCAGAAATGACAAAAATAGGGCCCCTTGCTGTGATATCAGGCCCGCCTTCACTTAGGGCGGGCATGTTGCTTGCTGGGGGGCCCTTAGGCTTCGGGAGGCCGCGGCCTGGAAGCCAATGTGAGCGCTCGTTCCTTGCATATAGGTGAACGTTGAAGGTAATAAATAAAATAATTAATTTATATTATTACTATATTATTTAATTATTGTTATCCATAACACTCTTTAAGCAAACAGCGGTCCTCGCGTAACGCTTCCGCGAGAGGCCGCTGCGCAGTCTTGAGAAACGTGGCGGGACTGACAAGCGGGCCCAACGGACACTGCGCACGTTTTTCGTGCCACGAGCGACCTAGCCCTGGACGGGCCGATAGAATTTTCGGGATCCGTGCCGGACCGTTCGCGATACTTCTATCGGGCCGTCCAAAGGGGGCTCGATCGACCACGACAGTTGTCGGGTTGTATTTAGGTGCTGCGGCTCGGTTCGATGCAACTCAGTTCGACTATACGCGCTGCTTCTCGTGATGGCTTTGCTGTTTTGACGCTGCCGAGAGAGAAAGGGTTCGGTTCGACGATACGTGCTGCTTCTCGTGATGGCTTTGCTGTTTTGATGCGACTCGAGAGAGAAAGGGTTCGGTTCGAAGAGAGAGAGAGAGAGAGAGAGAGAGAGAGAGAGAGAGAGAGAGAGAG